GTCACTACACAAACTTCCGTGAGCATCTGGAAATCCCCCCCCCCCTTCTAGTTTATAATTCCAGTTAACTATGATCAGGCTAAAGTGGGGAAAAGTCCTTCACAACAGAGGTAAAATGGATAAAAGAGCTCAGAGTAGCTCATTACGGGTTGAAGTTAGCCCAAGCGGTTAAAAGTTGGGAATTCGCACTCACGAATATGCGTCGTATGGGTGCCCTCTTGGGAAGCAACTGCCTGCAGGACCAATTCATGTCTGATCATCTTTCGCACCTTTTCTATCAACTCAATGATGCCGTGGGAGCATTCCATGACCTCTAAAGATTTCCTTTTTCACTGATATGGTCTCCTTCAACAGGAGGATTCGGGAAGCTCTCAGTTGGACTCAATAGGGCATTAGGTTCGATGCTCGCCTATGAGGTCGGAATTGAAATCTGTGATTCACTCAAACCATTATACGCATCTCTAAAAGACATGGCTCTTCGGCCGAATAGCGAAGAATTACGCCTGTGCGGTTTCAGTTTTTATTTAGATGTGAAAAAGAGAGGCTGTAGAAGTTGCTTAGTTTCGTATACATGACACTTCAACTTGAGCAATTCAGTGGAAGCAGGTTCAATTCAGTTTTTCAGCAGAGTTTTCAAGAAACAGAAGAGGACGGTCTTGTGGAGCAAGGAATTCTCTACAAACCGTATCAAACTTCAATGGCAAAACATGGCAAAACTTTCCATGTTTAGTGCGAAATTTCGAGTGAAAAAAGAAAGCAACTACTTGGTAGACCAATGCAATATATTCATGCTATAACTCTACCAGGGAAAAAATTAAAGAAAGAAGGAAGGAATTCCGCTAAGCAATAACAAGAACTTATACGGGCGTTCAAAGCGCATGGTGGTGGAGTATTCATATTTTTGCAGAGCATACATGTGAGTGAAAAATCAGCAATGGGTTAGGATTCTGGGCCACTCAATGATCACAAGAGTGAAATGCAGGTTATTACCGAACTCATGAGGAAAGGTGCGCTTAATCAATAGCCCACCAGTTACCCAGACTACGCCATTCAATTGGTCAGGCGCTGCAAAACAATGGCGACACCGCCTCCATAAATTCGAAAAACGATCTAGGAAACTTATTCTGAAAACTGAGTACAAGTGGTCTAAGGGCAATCAGAGGCTACTGAGTAAAAGGATGAAAAATGAAGCTTCCGCGTTTCATTGGTCTTTTTCGGGAATCGCCACGCATTCTACTTCCTTTCGGAATCGCAGTGATTTCTTGAATACTATATGGCCTGTAGAATGACTCAGGGGGCCAGCCGATGCACAATTAGTGTTTTCGCCGATCAACAGCTAAAATGAATGGTAGTACTCGAGAGAACAGGAAACAGTTATTAGTCGTGAGCAGTCGGTGTGGTTCCTGCGGCAAAATGTGAGATCGCTCAATCGATTTGTAGGGTTTTTGCAGTTCAAGCAGTCTGGTCGGTAGTCCCTCACCATAAAATAGTCCTAGATCCGCGCCTACGCAGTAATACGCAGGGCACCGTGGCCCTCACACGTGGCATTTCTGACGCCTCTCTCGTTGTGCCGCCCAGGAAGACCTGAAGGCAGTTGGCACGATATTCTGGTACTCTGTCTAAAATAGTAGCAGGTTTGCCAAATAGTGGAATAATGGCGAGCGAAGTGAAACGGTGGGAAACCTGCAAAAAAAATTTTGTTCCACACAACTCAGCATCAGAAAACAACTTGGCATCATGCCAATAACCGCTATGGTAGATACGGGTGCATGTATGTACTCATATATCCAGGCAGCATCGCAGCCGCTTCATATTAGTTCCTTTCCTTCATAGTGTATTTCATAACGAAGCGAACATCAGCATCAGACATTTTTGGGAAGGCGGGTGGGATGGGCGTCCGGGTCTGTATGTTGTAGCTCGACACGGCGCTATGAAGGTACCTTCCCTGGGAAATGCGCCAAGTGTCGCTCAGGGGCACCCGAGTTAAGTCTTGCTAGGCGTATTAACCCTACACGTCTTGGAGATTTATCGTGCCAACTGCCTTTAGAGGCTATTATCTGTTGCGAGTTCAGTTTACATCGTGATTGTCGTTTTTTTTTCTTCACTGTTTGATGTGATCATGGCTACTTGTGCATGAGTGTTATATACAGGAGCACAGTGAGCAAAACGGACAGGTGGTATTGTTCTGATGGCTTGAACGGCGGTCCCTACTATGATGCAGCAGGTCCGGGACTTGTACCTAGGCGCCAGGTCCTTGCTCAGAGGTTCTCTATGATTTTTTTTTGGAATTTTTCTTCCTTGAGTAGTCACTTGGCGACCGTAGGTTTGTGATTGCGCCACTACCCACCATATGCAATCGCGGGCTTTGTCTTTATGCGGCTCAGGTGAGTTTGGCGCAGCAGTCTTCGCAGCCTCTAATTGACCAAAAGACGTGCTTTATAGAAACAAAGCCCGTGCTTGTATTAGGTTGATCAAAAAGTTTTGATAGGGTTTTTTGAAAGTTCCAGAACTTTCGATTCTTGATCGATACCAATGATCTACCATGTGGTAGTGGTAGAACATTCTAGAACCTTCTCCGTAATGGGTATATATAGGCGCGCTTCCTCCTTTAGCTTAAATCACGATGTCAATTCCACGAGACCATGTTCGATACATCATCTTCTACGAGTGGCGCCGCGGCACCGGAGCGACGGCAACCGTTCGCAACATCAACAGCGTATGGGAGGACACCACTTCCATCGCTACGGTCCATCGCTGGTTCGCTCGCTTCAAGGAAGGAGACACGGACTTCGAAGACAAGCCTCGGTCGGGACGCCCCCTCGCCGTCGACGACTCCGTCATTCTCGACGCCGTCAAAGAGGATCCGGAAGTTAACACCCGCAGTCTTGCGACGAGACTTGGGTGTGCCCAATCAACAGTCGTCGGTCGCCTTCAGGCCCTCGGTTACAGAAGAGTCGATGAATACATCATGTCTTGACCGATAGCATGCGGTACACCCGGGTATCCATTTGTCAGTCTCTCCTTCTCCGCCCACATCGCAAGGAGTTTCTGGAGGACCTAGTTACTGGAGATGAAAGCTGGATCCTCTACGACGCTAACAAGCACCGCGCCGTCTGGCTCCCGCGAGGAGAACAGCCGCCGACGCAAGCCAAATCCGACCTCCACCCCAAGAAGTTTCTCCTTTGCTGCTTCTGGGATTCAAAAGGAATGCTGTACGAACTGCTCAAGCAAGGCCACACCGTCACCGCTCCCTATTACGCTGGTCAGCTGCAGAAACTTGCGGAAGCCGTTCGAGAAAAACGGCCTAGACGAACTTTTGTGCACCTCCTCCATGACAACGCTAGGCCTCACATAGGTAAAGAGACCCGCGAAATTGGAGGAGCTAAGCTGGGACACACTTCCACATCCACCCTACTCACCTGATACTGCCCCCCTCAGATTAGCATCTGCTCCGGCCCCTTCCCTAGAAAAAAAAACGATTCAACTATAACCACCTTGAACAAGTGGTCGGTGACTTCTTTGACAACATGCATTGTTTGCTGAGTTGTAAAATAGAACAGAAAAAAATCTCAACCCTACCAAAACGTTTTGATCAACCTAATATATTGCAGGTAATAGCCCTCAGTTTTGAACCTGTTCACTAGATCGCTCTTCAGAGAAGAAAAATACAAAAAATCTATTGAAAACACCTCAGGCACGGGCCTCTGGCAGCCTTACTTCACGAACCCCCCGGATCTACCCCTTCATGCCAGCAATGCGATTTCGGCAGCCTCTGGATCACTAATCGTTTCTTTCGAAGAGAGAAAAAAAGTGAAAAAGCCTAATGTGATAAAAATAAAGAAAATGCGATCTAGCAACGAAACTCGCAGTAGAAGTGAGCATGCGAAGCGTCTTGTGCAGAACTGGCCTTGGCAATTACTCCATACAATGAGCAATAGCATACAATTTTATTATTGGTAACTAGGACGCCTCGCGATAATATCTGCCTTTGACTGCAAGTGGAGCACATGATGAATATAATGATGAAAAATGGAAAAGAATATTGGCAGCAGCACGGTCACATTTATGACACATATTAAGGACTTATGCCCGCCACATCACTGGTCAACAACTATGCGCCCCTGCGATGAGTGCAATGAGGATCAGGGTAAGCGATTCAAGTAAGCGAAAGCCAGAACTTGAATTTACTACGGCTACAGCACCCTCGTCACTCACTGTGTTGACGATGACTGTACAATCTCTGAGACTGCTAACTGACCTTTTCTACAAGGAAAGACATCCACGAGACGGTTGAGCGCTGATTCCTCTCATTGTCAGAAGCAAGCAGTCATTCTTGTGTCGAATGGCACGTCTTTAAAGACGAATC